TTTCAAATAAAAAAAGAATCATTGAAATCAGTTCACCCAGAAAAAAGTTATGAGGTAACACACTAAAAGAACATACAATAGAATTGAGTTCCTCCTCCTTTTAGAAGTCGGTGGAAAATAGGAAGAGGTGTACACCAGAGCGACCTCATGTCATCAAAATTTTTCACAACTATCTTGAAAATCTATCGCAATTAAGAATCACGCACAATCTGACCATTGGCAAAAGGACTGCAGCAAAGCCGAATGATTTGGATGTAGTAAGTTGTAGAGTGGGATTAGTCTTGAATGAGTAAAAAATGAAAGTCATGACAAACGGGAGAGGGGAGGGAAGAACCTTTATGCGTTAACAATAACAACAAAATCTAAAGTAATATATGTATCTGGGTCAAATAATTTCTCCAACAGATTCAACTTCAAAGGAAATCAATAGATGCATAGGGAACCCATGGAAACATTACAGAAGTCTGTAAGAGATTATGAAGTGGTAAAATTAAAAAATTTATGCAAACAACCTCAATATAAATTATTAAGGATAACTCAAAAATAACTGGTCAGACCTTAATCAAATCTATACAAATAAATAGAATTGAAGTGTCTGTTTGTAATATCAAAATAACAGCTTTTTACTATATGCATATGAAAGTATATACGGTACCTATAACAAAAACACATTTTTTAAAATTTTTGTCTGTCTGTCTTTCTGTTTGTTCCAGCTAATCTCCGAAACGGTTTTTTTTTTATAGAATAGGGGGCAAACGAGCATGCGGCTCACCTGATGGTAAGTGACTACCGCCGCCCATGAACAACCGCAACACCAGGGGAATTGCAGATGCGTTGCCGGCCTTTTAGAAAGGTGTAAGCTCTTTTCTTGAAGGTTCCTAAGTCGTATCGGTTCGGAAAATTCGCTAGTGGTAATTGATTCCACAAAGAAGTTGTGCGAGGGAGAAAACTTCTTCTAAATCGCACAGTGGTGGACCGCCAATCATCCAGATGGTATGGATGGTAACGCGAGTTTTGTCGCGACGTGCGATGGTGAAATTGAGCGGCTGGAATTAGTCCGAACAATTCCTCAGAACACTCCCCGTGATAGATGCGATAAAATACGCAAAGAGATGCAACATCTCTACGCAGTGCCAGTGTATCGAGCCGATCGGAAAGAACTCGGTCGTCGACGATTCGAATCGCTCTGCGCTGGATGCGGTCAAGTGGAAGGAGCTGGCACTGGGGTGCCCCGGCCCAGAGATGAGAACAGTATTCCATGTGGGGCCGAACTTGCGCTTTGTAAAGTTGCAAGCGATGTGCCGGCATGAAATACTGTCTCGCTCTGCTGAGCACGCCAAGCTTTTTAGAGGCCAATTTGGCCTTCCCTTCCAAGTGACCACGAAACTGCACGCTATTCGATATGTCGACGCCAAGGATTCCGATACTGGCTGAGGCAGCAAGGGGAGTGCCTTGAAACTGAGGAGATACGACAAAGGGGTTCTTTTTAGCGGTAAACGCGCAAACTTGTGTCTTCTGGGGATTGAACTGGACTAGATTTAGTCGGCCCCAATCCGAGACTTTGTTAAGCAAAGACTCGACTTCAGACACAAGTTTGTCCCGGTACTCGGCGACGTTTTTCCGAGAAATATTGGCACGGCCGGTATATAAGGCATCCCCAGTGCTGTCGTCTGCATAGCAATGAATGCTACCAGTTAGCAACATATCATTGATATGCAGGAGAAACAGCGTTGGTGATAGCACGCAGCCTTGTGGAACACCAGCGTTGATAGGCTTGTAATCAGAGCATGCACCGTCTACTACGACCTTGATGCTCCGATCAGCAAGGAAACTGGTGATCCATTTGCACAATTTCTCGGGAAGCCCATAGGAAGGAAGCTTCGAAAGAAGCGCCTTGTGCCAGACCCGATCGAAGGCCTTCGCTATGTCCAAACTAACGGCCAATGCCTCCCCCTTGGACTCTACTGCCTCCGCCCATCTATGAGTTAAGTAAATTAGAAGATCACCTGCTGATCGACCCCGACGGAAACCGTACTGACGGTCACTGATCAGCTGGTGATCCTCAAGGTACCTCATGAGCTGGCAGTTTATAATGGATTCCATTATTTTGGAGAACAAGGAGGTGATGGCGATAGGCCTGTAGTTGGACGGGTCAGAGCGGTCGCCTTTTTTAGGGATCGGGTGGACCAAAGCTGTCCACCCGATGCGCTGTGTAAATCGCACATCCGGCATGGAGCACTCACATCGCGGGATGGTCGGCGGTGTGTTCCCCCCGTCATCTAGAGTCGAGTTAGACGCAAAAAGAGAGCACAACAGATCGGCTTTCTCTTTTGCGGCATGGGCCAGTGAGTCGTCCTCTCTGTGCAGAGATGGGAGGGATGGCTGCCAGAAGTTCCCTTGGACAGCCTTGGCGAGAGACCAGAATGCACGGGTTCCCGAAGGAAGGCGAACTAGCTTCTCGCCAATTCTGCCGATGTGCTCAGACCTTGCCTTGGCAATGACGCTTTTGAAGGACCTGGAGGCGGAATTATACTTCTTTTTAAGTGCGCTGGTGTTTACATCCCGAGACGTTGATGCGTCAGCCGGTAGCACTCCTGCTTATAGCATGATGCTATTTTACAGGAGCGACCAAACCATGGCTGCGATCAGCCTCCGATGGGCACCACAGAGGATGGAATAAAAGTTCCATACCCTGAAGTACCACATCAGCAACAGAATCGGCAACAACGCTGGGATCTTCCGGCGAGAAGCAAACCCGCCCCCAAGGGTAGGATGCAAAAAAAGACCACATCCCGTCCCAATCAGCTGACCTATAGTGCCAAGCACGGCGGCAAGCTGTAGATCGAAACTGCGATTGGAGCGTGAGTGGCACCGTGCTCCAGATCAGAAAATGGTCCGAAGAGCCCAGAGGGGCATCGACGGAGACCTGATATCCGTCCGGATGAGAGGTCAGCAGAAGGTCCAACAGGGAAGGTACATGGTCTTCCACATCTGGGATCCGCGTAGGCGAAGTAACCAGTTGTGTTAGACCATATGCCAAAGCAAAGTCGTAGACAGATCTACCCGCATGATCGGTTAAACGAGAACCAAGCCATTCAGCGTGGTGGGCGTTGAAATCACCGAGTATCACGATCTCTGCGGATGGGACCTGTTGTAGCACGGAGTCTGCAGCCATTTGGACGTGGTCGATGAGTCGGTCTGTGTCGGCATTACCGCTATGGGACCTATAGAGGCACCCGTAGACGCGGGGATGGTCGTCGCTGTCTACGCGCAGCCATAGGATGGACAGGTCCGTACCTTCGAGGCTGCCAAGGCGTCGAAAACAGATGTCCTCTCTGACGTATACACAAACTCCAGCCCGGGGCACAAAGGAGTGTTCCAATTTGTATCCCGGGTAGGAGAGATATGAAGTATCAGCCGGAGAGGACACCTGAGTCTCGGTTAAAAAGAGCAAGGCCGGCTTCGCCATCTCTAGATGGTAATGGACAGCGTTAAGGTTGGAATGAAGTCCCCTGATGTCGCAAAAATTCACGGATAGCGTGACAGGGGTCGCCTTGGTTGTATTGCTCCGCTTGCCCCGAGCAGCATTAGTCACGAGCGGAATTTTGCCCCTCCCAGAATACGCGGGGCAGCCTGAGCACCCACGCTCAGGAGTGAAGTAGTTTGTTCGTGGATGCTCAGCGAGGGATTCTCCAGGGGTGCTGGTACCCTCCTGGGGTAGTCTTGTATTTAATTCCACTACCATGTTGATGGGGGGGAATTGGGCCTCCGGCCACCTGCACTCACCAAGCGCAACGCAGAGGTAAACCTCTACTTCAAGCTGGTATTCTGTGAGGTCGTAGTACCACCCCGGTTCGAGCTGGCCCATCTGTGCGACAGCAAAAGCTACCGCTTGGCTCTACCACTGTTAGACCGGTTGGTTGGTTGGACCGGTTTTGACCGTACTTTCACTGGTAGATAGCTGATGTTATAAGGAGTAACTTAGGCTACATTTATTTTAGAAAAAGAATTAGGGTTCCGCACAAAAAAAATTTAAACCCATAAAATCCAATAGTAATAAATTCCACGCGGGCGAAGTCGCAGGAAACAGCTATTTATATATATAAATAAATGTGACCACATGAGAAACACCAGCTTTCAAATAAAAACTAAAAATTATCAAAATCGGTTCAAAAAAAGTTATGAGGTAACACACATAAAAAAATACAGTAGAATTGAGTACCACCACCTTTTTGAAGTTGTTAAAAAAGAGAAAAATAAGTAGAACTATCAAGGGGAAACTATTTGATACTTGTATATTGCTTGTACTACCATATGGTTATGAAACCTGGGCACTCACTAAAGCTCACAACAGACAACATTCGTGATTACTACAAAATATCAGTAATATAATTCATTGATGGATTATAAAATGTAGAATATGTAATAAATGATCTATTGTTTTCAATCTAGCTTGAATATCCTTTTTTAGATGCACCTTTGTACAATGCCTCAATTTAGTTTGTTTTCTAAAATAAAGCAGAAGTATTTTCCAACACACTGAGAATTTTGCCAAAGATTACAGGTTTTTTATTCAATGTAGAGAGATCTCCCCTTTTCCTTCCACCGGCCACATAAAAGTTCAAGTTCCCGAGAGCTATTTGTCTCACATGGCCAGAAGTACTTAATAAATCTATACAAATAAATAAAATTGAAGTGTCTGTTTGTAATGTCAAAATTACAGATTTTTACTAAATGCATATGAAAGGAAATATGGTACTTATAACTAAAATACAATTTTTAAAATTTTTGTCTGTCTGTCTGTGTGTTTGTTCCAGCTAATCTCCGAAACGGCTGGACTGATTTTGACAGGACTTTCACTGGCAGATAGCTGATTTCATAAGGAGTAACTTAGGCTACTTTTATTTTAGAAAAAGAATTAGGGTACCGCGCAAAAACATAAAAAACGTAACACGCGAGCAGAGTCGCGGGGAACAGCTAGTAATGTAATAAAACTTTACTTACTGAGGCCTGCCTGGATAGTAAAGTGTTGATACTCTCAGATTTCCGCGGTCCATTTTACAGTCCACGTAAAAGTCATCATTGTTGACAACAGGCTTCGATTTAGTCTGCATACATTTGTCGTTTTCATCTTCTGTGTCGCTCGCCAGCAGCTGCGCTTCCATTGCATCATTACTCCCTGATATAACTTGAGAGTTTGCCTCCCACCGCACTGTTAAATGTATATTTTGAATTCTTAATACAATTCAAAATAAACCCTAGATTCAAACACATACCCATGACACAAACATACCTGGCTCATCTTCTACATAAGTCTCCTTTGTATCATTAGAAGCATAAGCTGGAAATAGTGCCATTTCAGAATATCAGCAATTGCAATCATATGATAAAAACTTAGAAATCACTATAGTGGTGACAAGGTAGTTAATTTTATTTTTTAATTCAAATTTTATCAAAATCAAATATAAACACGACCATAGAGCATTAAATGCATTTACTGTTGTTGTTGTTGTTGTTTTTATTATTTGCTCGAGAGAGCAGGCAAAGGAACTAAGCCATACAGCCTTGTCTTTTTTATTTTGAATGTATAAAATTTTAAAGTGTAAAGGCCGGAACCAAGTCTTATTTTTCTTCTTTCTATCTCTTCAAAATCCATTATAGTAAAATAATACTTTTTGAAAAAGAGGATGATGTGACAAAGAATTGATATTTAATGAAAACCTAAATTTCAGATATTTAAACCTAAGTAATATAGGAGGAGTATGACATTCAGCCTGTAAAGAAACAATAGTTGTTCTCATAGAGCCGGTAATAAGTCTTAAATTTTATTTTGTATATTATCTAATTTGTTTACTAGTTTTTTATTTGATGAAAAACAAAGGAAGCCATACTCAAAATGGCTTCTTACCAAAGACTTATATAACATTAATAATATTTCTGGATCAGCTCCCCAGTTAGTACTAGCCAAAGCTTTTAATACATTAAAGGCCTTAGAAGCTCTGTCTGTAATAGAATTCACGTATTTGGTCCAAGATAAATTATTTGTAAAAATTACACCTAAGAATTTTGCACAACTTTCTATTGGTAAAAATGTATTATTATAAATTATTCTAGTGTTAAATGGACGAATTTTATTAAATATTACAACTTTACTTTTCTCAGTACTAATATCTAAATTTAAGTATGAAAAGTAAATGTGCAATTTCTTTAAAGCCTTATTTAAAATGTTTACCAAGTTTTTGACATTTGCTCCTGAGGCGTATATGACCAAATCATCTGCATATTGTAAATTAGTAACATTTGATCCTAAAATATTGTTTAATTTAAATATGTATAAAATAAAGATAAGAGGACTTAATATTCCTCCTTGACAAACACCTTTATAACTGAGCCTAGGACCAATAATTGTATTATTATTATTAACTTTGGCAAAAACTCTTCTTTCATGTAAAAAGTTAAATATCCATTTTACAATTTTTTCAGGAATGGCCAAAGACCTCAACTCTGCGGCGAGTACATGAAGATTGACGTTATTAAATGCACCAACAATGTCAAAGAATATACCATACTAATTAATATTTCATTATTTTCCATAGCTTTAAAAATGTCTAAATGTAGAAATGCAATACTTTCTCTAGATGACTTACGGTGTCTGAATCCAAACTGATTTGATGGTAAAAGACAATTTTTTTCTAGATAAAATTCTAATCTAGATTTTATAAGTTGCTCAAATATTTTACCCATACAAGATGTAAGTGCTATAGGTCTGTAAGATTCTGCAATGTGAGACTTTTTTCCAGGCTTTAAAATGGGTATCAAACAATCTTCTTTCCAATCGTTAGGAATAAGTGAATGAAACCATAACATATTATATATTTTCAAAACTAGTTCTCTACACACAGTATTCATATTTTTTAAAGCTTTATATGGAACAGAATCTAAACCACAAGTAGTGTCTTTTCTACAGTTAACAGCCGAGTTGAATTCGGTCAAGGTAAAAGGTTTGGTAAGATAATCACAATGATTATCATTTGAGGAGTTAGGGGTTAGAGGTGATTCATCTGTTTCTGGAGTATATTTTTTCAAAAATTCATTAGCCCAATTAGAATCTATGACAGATGTGTTATTATGAATAAAAGTTTTGTTAAACTTTTTAATGTAGTTCCATACTCTAGTCAATGGAGTAGATCTATTAAAAGTTTCACATAGTTTTTTCCAGCTACGATGTCTTTCAGTCTTCAAAGTAATTTTTTTAACAGCTTGTAGTCTTTTAAAATTAATATAATTTCGTTCTGTGGGATCATTCTTAAATACTAAATATGCATTTTTACAATTTAATACTGCCTGTTTGCATTTTAAATTCCACCAGGGTAGAGAATTTTTCTTTCTAATTCTTTTAAAAGATTGCAAGTTAACATTTCGATTAGAAAACTGATTGGATGGTGTGGATTCATGCATGGCTTGTTTAACTAGTTCTATTAAGTCTGTATAACATTGTAAAGGATTACTATAATCAAAACTATAATTTTTAATTAAATTATCTATTAAATTTGTATATTTTGACCAATCTACCAATTTTAAGTTTATGTTATTTGATACAGCTGTTTCTTGAAAATTTTGACTATTAACCGTAATGTTTGTCTTTACAGGAAAATGATAGCTGCCTAGAGAATCATCATCACATACTTGCCACTCACAAGACAGAGCCAGTGAAGATGAAACAAGTGTCAAGTCTAATGCATTCTGCCTCCATCTATGAGATCCTACTGTAGTCATCTGACCATCATTCAAGATTACAAGATGGTTGTCATCTATACTTGCAAGAACGTCCCTACCTCGTGAATCTAATTCAGTACATCCCCATAACGTGTGATGGGCGTTGAAATCACCAGCTATAAAGACTGGCTGTGGCAAACTTTGGATTAAATTATCTAATTTGGATTTATTATAATTAATTGATGAATTAGGGGGACAGTAAACACTAACTAAAGTTAATAATTTATCATTGTATTGTATTTGTACAGCTATATTTTGTAATGAGTCATCAGAGAATGTATTGATAGCACGAAATCCAATTTTGTTATGTAGAACTATTGCTACTCCATTATGATCATTACCTGAATCTAATCGTATAATATTATATCCTTTTACTCTAAAATTGTGCCTAGGTTTAAGCCAAGTTTCACATATGAGAGCAACATCTATGGTGTTCTCATATAAAAATTGTGTAAATTGAAAGCGATTTTTAATTAAACTCTGTGCATTCCATTGTAAAATCTTAAACTGATCCATAAAATATTAAATGTTAAATAATGAAATATCTATTTTGGTTTCATTGTATCTATGAGAACATCTTTAATAAGCTGAGAAGATATGGTGGTTTGTTCATTTGATTTATTAAGAGTTAATACTTTAATGACTGTATTTAAAATTATATTAATAATGTCATCATTCTTTAGCAGTGACATAAGAGCATCTTTGGGATTTTTTTTGTTTAATTCGGGGAATTCGTTTTTATTAAAAAGGTCTACAAATGGGGTTTTGTGTAATTTAACCTGATTTTCTTTTATCTTTTGTTTCTTAACAGGACACTGTCCAGAAATGCTTAGATGGTTTCCTTTGCAATGTATGCATATCGCTTTATCTGAAGAGACTTTGCAATATTTGTAGCTGTGATTTTCAGTACAAATTGAGCATTTCACAGAATTTTTACAATACTTTGCTAAGTGACCATACCTCAAACAATTGTAGCATTGCTTCACTGGTGGAATATACTGATTTACCACGAACCGCCAACCATGAAGATCGACGTGGTCCGGCAAAACATTAGAAGCAAATGTGATGGCCACGGTGCCCGTCGGCTGCAGCAAACTGTGTCCTGCATCATTCTTATGTTTCCTCATTATCCTTTTAACACATATTATCTTTCTATAAGTCGTTAACATACCAAAAATTCTTGAATTAGAAAGATTAGTGGGAACATTGGTTATAACTCCTGTTATTTCTGTCCCTACAGCTGGGATAGATGCCTTCATTTTGTATTCATTAAGAAAAGTAATATTATTTAAAAATGCATTCGCTAGAGAGGGCTTTTCAAAATGAACGCCTATTTTGTATTTATTCATAGATTGCAAATATTTAATGCCTTTATTGAACCTCTTCATATGTGTGGATAGAGACATCATGTCCCGCGTGCCGATTGGCCTTTTTTCATCATTTGATTCGACAAATACAACAAAATCAACGAGAATAGAGTCCTCAGGGTACCTCCTGTTGTAGTCTGATACAAAATACGGCTTATACTTGCGCTGCTCTTTCTCAGGATCTTCCTCAGTGCTGGTATCAATTTCTTCCTCCTCAGTCGTTTCTTCAAACATTTCTTCTTCTCCCGGCAATTTTTTTTTCTACGTTTCCCAATGATGGGGAAACCCAGTAACAATAAACAATAAAAGTTTAGTGCCTTTTAACTAAATAAAACAAAACTAAAATTTTAGTTTAAAAAAGGCGCCTATCACGTTTCAAGGTTCCCGCGCTTTCCTCCCTAAATGCATTTACGCGTTGACGTTCACAATGACAGTGACAGTTAACTGCACAGATAAAATTTATACTAGATTTTAATTAAAAACTTGACTTGGATGCTTGTTTTTTTAGCGATGTCTTTAACTGAGTACACTGACGTCTACATATTATGGATGTACCATAGACTTAAAGTATACTGGCGTATAGACCAACATAGTGTGCAAGGGAGAAAAAATTCCTTATGGCAAGAATGCTAGATAGAAAAGGATACCAAATCTCATGACTCTAACCGGTTTTGAATAACAGGTCGGCACGAGTTGGCAAAAAGAAATAGCCCCTAGATATTTTGTTATTTTTAAGTGTAATAGTGGTTATTTTAACTAACTTTTTTCAAAAATGGTTACTTGTTTTGTGACTGACTGTGGGGTTAGTAACAGAAATAATCCTGATAATTGCACATTTCACAGGTAAATTCTCAAGATGTCGTAAATGTTAAGACGCGTTTATTTTTGATTAAACTTTATGTTATATATTGTTTAAAATAAAGAACCTTTTCAATTATTTTGTTAATTTTGATATTTTGTAGGGAAAAAAGTCACGTTGTTGATAACTTTCATGAATTTGGTAATTAAATTTTTATACAAAATATTTTACATGTATGCTAGGACTCAACTATATCAAAATAAATGTCGATATTTATCTGGAATGTTTATAATGAATCATTAGACTTGCCCACAAAACCAGAAAGTAAATCCTCGGTTTGCGTTCTAAAATGTAATTTTATTTTGCCTTTTTTCTCCCCTCTATATCTCTATATATTATTCCCTCCGAATTCTAT